CATACTCTTTCCACAGTGTTCCCAAGATTTGTCCTTTGAAAGGGAAAGAAAGCTTGGTGCGCCCTCCCATCTCCCTCCACCACCCCCCCCCCTTCTTGATGAAGCGAGGAAAATTAGTAATCAAGGAATTTTCTAGAGACTGAATCTCTTGTGTGTGGCTTTTGAATGCGACTTGACCTGAACAATAGCTCATGGCTGTTTGGAGGTATCGTATATCCGAAGCCGGGTTTTGATCCTTCCGGATAAGTTTGGTTCCAATTTACGTTGCGATTTGCGTCTGGGTGGGTATGTTGTGCCTTGGTTAGGCGCTACAGTAAAGCCTCTGGTTGGAAGAGGTCCCGCAGCGCCTGTTAAAGGGCTCAGTATTCGTCCTTGCTAGGCGTTTCGACCCTGCATGTCTTGTGGATTTATCGTGCCGCATGCCTTTGAAAGCTTTCTGTGTAACATCGTAAATGGGGGGGGGGGGGAATGTGCGCACGCGCTATGTCGGCTATTCGTCATAGAAGATGGTCATACGCAAGGAAAATCGGATCCTATGTTCCGTGGCTAGCCTCCTCATGTGGTCATTGGTTAGGCTCCTTTTGTATGTAATGTTTGCGAGCAAAAAAGAGCAACTCCTGTACTGGCTCCCTTCGATTAATCCTCTTGTTTCACATGGACACTTTCAGGTTTATTAGGGCCGGTTAGTGTCGGCGTCTCTCCCTCTCTTTCTGTGTTATCCACTCAACCACTTCTAATGCGTAGTTAGTGCTTTTCGTGTAATCGGCGCAGCTTCTGAAAGTCTTTCGTGTTTCGTCGCGCCTTCATTTCCAAAGCCATTGGGTATAACCTCTCATCTCTGCCTTTGTCTCATCACCTTTTTAACTTCTTTTGCTACAAATTCTCACCGTCGCAGAAGGCAATTGTCCTGTTTTTATCGCCGTCGCTGCTACACTTACCGGTTCAGAAGCTGTTAGTGGTTGCACGTGTTCACTGGAGACTTCTAAACTGTGTACAATCTCTATTTCCAGCATGCAGTCTAGAGTGATACCGTCTGGTATAGTTGTGGAAGAGGTTCGATAAAATTCCTTTTTCGTAGCACACTTCTTTTATTTAGATTTTTTGAAAGTAAATCGTGCAGTGCACGAGTAGAGTATCTGATGAAGGCGAAAAACTATCTCCTTCGTAGCTCTTTTTTCTAATCCGAAAAAATTATAATAGCGCTATTCGTAGCGCACTTGATAATAGATCTAGAAGCAGAAACATTTCTTGGCACTATTTACCCTTTACTATCCAACCCTCCAGAATTGAGCCAGTTTTTGACCGACTTTTTTCTCCGTGGACAGATTTGGCTCACATGTTGTCTCCCAGGGATGTACCGCTCGAATACGAATAGCACATTCGCTTAGCCCGAAACTTCCTGGCGCCCGCGCCACAGGCGCCGATGATTTGGGGTATTTTGGCGCCGGCGCCTGTGGCGCGGGCGCCAGGAGGTTTCGTGCCGAGCGGATGTGATATTCATGTTCAGGAGGTCAAACTACCCCAGGGAACAAATTTTTAGCCAATTTTGCCAACGCAGAAAAAGTCGGTCAAAAACTGGCCTGTTTTTGGAAGATTGGGGCAGTAAAGGGTAAATAGTGCCCATTTCTTACTTGAGGCGGCCAACGGAACCTACGTTCTGCGGAACATATACCACTCCCTTCATGGAGAATCTCTCAATAGGCACGTGGCCGTGTGGGTCCATGAGAAAACCATTTAGTAACTTCAGATTTTGTAACAGGTCAGCTTTCTCAGTCACCACCGCTTTTCAATAGTGCAGTCGCCGAATCTTCAACCAAATAAAGAAGATATCAACAATCTGGATGTAACCCTAACTAGAACTAAGGCATTTACTAAGAAGTATGCCAGTTCTTTTAATGCTGAACATAGCCATTATTTTTGGTAGTGTAAATCTCGTCTTTCTAAGCCTCTTTTTGCTTAGGTTTTAGTGCACTCATCAGAGCAGCAAGATGCTTGCGAGAGCAGCTTAAGGGTAATCTTCGATGTGTGGCGAAACTGGCTCGTACAGCAGCCAGTAGCTCCACGTAGAACAGCTCGAAGGAATTAGCAGCTCCCGTAATGCCAGTGCACACACGGTGAACCTCACGGTCGCCATGACATACATCACATGGCACATCACGTTTCCTCTGTCGCATTCATCGCTACACTTTAGTAATCTTGATGTACCTCAGGGTACTGTCGACGCCTGCTCTATATCATTCGAATATTCAAGAAAAGCCTCATTCTAGAACCTGAAGAAATTGAAGACCTCCCATCACAAGGACCTTACGTTCAGTCCCGTTACCCTTCAGCTATCAATATCAGCTTCACAATTTTCGACTTTATTTATTTCAAGCCTGAAACATTTTATGAGCACCGTTCAATGTCTATGTTCTTCCCATCCTTTTTCAAAGTCGTCGGACCCCCTTTCGAAACGGTTTGTTGCATGTCGTAGAGGTTCATGCTGCTCTGTACCTCCAGAAGTTTGTAGCAGAAATGAAGTATAATTTTGTGGTTCAGGGAGCACAAAAGTGTGGTTCGTTCCAGTGCGCCGTTCTGTGAAGGCTAAAGAGAGGACGAACATTGGGGG